TCATCTCTATTTTATTGCTCATTTGCTCTATTTTTTCTAATATTTCTAAAACATGTAATCCATTTTATGAGGGAATGAGCAAGTAATATAATTAGTTCAAATGGTAAAATAAAAGTAAAATTTTAAAATTATAATATGCTTATTGAAAGGAAAACATACTTCCAAAATTATCTATGTAGGTTCTAATCGGTTTCGGATATAATCAGTTTCGGATCTAATCGGTTTCGGATTTTATCGGTTTCGGGTATTATCGGTTTTGGATCTAATCGGTTTCGGGTTTAATCGGTTCGGATATTATCGGTTTCGGATCTAATCGGTTTCGGATTTAAATCGGATATGAATTATTTAGTTCGGTTTCGGTTCGATTCGGATCATTTCGGGTTTTCGGTTATAGATCGGATCTTCATTTTTCGGGTCATTTCGGTTTCGATTTCGGATATTTCGGTTCGGATAATCGGTTCCGGTTCTGTTTTGCCAGCTCTACTCCTCAGCTTGTCTGTCAATCTGTCATTGCCTCAATATCCCCATTGCCCACTGGTTGTCAGAGGTTGTTCGAGCGAGCCCGTGCACACACTCTCGAAGGGGAGATGGCCTTCCCTTTCCGTACCTTAGCATTATAGGTAGTCCAAAAATATTTGAATAATTTTTATACTTTATTTTTATATAAATATTTAAATAAATTTATTTAGAAAAAATCTTTTTTCCCATTAAAAACTATTTTAACAGAAAAAGTTTTTAAATAAATTAATTTTAAAAAACTTACTCTATATAAAATAAGAAGTGACCAAAACTAAGTTATTTAAATAAAGTTATTTAGAAAAAAAATACTTTTTTTCCTTTTAAATCAACTTTAACAGAAGGAAAAGTTTTTAAATAAATTGATTTAAAAAAATTACTCTATATAAAATAAGGAGTAGTGACCAAAACTAAGGTGTACTCTCCGGCCCATTAAGTCCACGGGAAAGTCCCAACCCAATAATTTCATAAAATTTGGAAAATAAGAAGACTGGCCGCCAGAAAAGAAAAAAAGCCCAAAAATCTATCATCAAAATATAAGCACAAAACCCTGCCTGAATCTTGTGAACCTCTGTGAAGATTGAAGAAGATGGAGTTTGAGAAGAGGAAAGCTTCGACTTTAGCGGCGATGAACTCGCCGGAGCCGGACAAATCTCCGAAAGGAAACGTAGACGCACCCATCGTTCCTCTACTCGCCGCCATCAACTCTCACCCTTTGTATTTCACCACCAGCTCTTGCTCCGGCCGCATCTCCGTCTTCGCCCACCCCTCCGCCTCTTCTTCCACCAGCCCCGTGAAATCCAAAGGCGGGAAGTGGGTCTTCATCTCCCACGACCCAGTTGACCCCGACTCAGTCTCGCGACTTCTGCTTGGGGACGAGTTGGGTCAGTCCGATCCAGGCCATAGTTTTGTGTTCAGGTTCGAGCCTCTGATCATTGCAATAGAGTGTAAGGATGTTCAGGCAGCTCAGTGGTTGGTGGCATTGGCTATTTCTTGTGGGTTTAGGGAGAGTGGGATCACCAGTGCTACTAACAAGCGAGTGATCATTGCTATCAGGTGCTCGATCCGATTGGAGGTGCCTTTGGGCTGTAGCGATAGGATAATGGTGTCGCTGGAATACTTGAAGTACATTGCTGAACTTGCAAATGAGAAGATGGATGCTAATAGGAAGAGAACTGATGGGCTTCTTGATGCCTTGTTAAAAGAAGGATCTTTTGGGCCTCATAGCTGCAACGGAAAGCTTTTGTGCAGATCTGAAGTAAATTCTGATGAAGCTTCAGCTTGTCTTGATGGACCCGATTTGGAATTCTTGAGAAACTCTTCCAAAGGCGGTATGAATAGCAGTGAGGATGGTGAAAGCAAACATTTCGACAGTACAAAATGTGGTAATCTCAATTCAGTGGATTTACCCGATTTTATCTTTCTATGGATTTACACTGCCTTGTGCTTTGACTGTTTATCTCAGGTGTTTGAGTAGAATGTTATGGACTATTAGCTGCTCACTTATTTTTTATATTAGAAAAAATAGCTATCTTATTCTGGACAATTCCATTAAGGGCTTGATTGGTTTGGAGAATTCAGAGGGGATGATTGATTTTAGTTATATTGATATTATCTATATTTTTGAAGTCTTGTAGTAGAAGATGGCTATATCTATTATTAAAAACTGTACTATGCAATCTTTCATATTCACTTTCTTCTAAACAATCTAATGTAAGAATAACTAATATTACTCCTCCCCTTCATTGGCCTTAATAATTCTTCAACCAAACAGGGGTTGGGATTCACACGTGGAGACCAAAAATGTGGTTGTGCTAGTTTTATTTCATTGCCTGCATATTTCATGGATTTAGAAAGCACAACCTCTAGATATTAGATAAGATAGGGCCTATCTAGTAGCATGTTTGACTATTTGGTAAGCAGATTAGTAGTTTTACCGCTTTAGTTTTTAATTCAAATGGACTGTTAATATTAAGGAAATAAAATGAAGAGGAAAATAGAGAATTTCCGAGGAAAAGAAAATGTGAGTGGAAACAAAACATTGGTCCAAACTAAGCTAATATAGTGTTGATTTTTTTTTCAAAGTTCAAACTCATTTTATTTATTCATCTTTACTATATAAAGTAAAATTTTAGTATATTTTATATCATATTATATTCTCTTTTGCAATTTCCAAGATAAAACCAAGCAGAAAAAGCCTTAGCATTTTTTCCATTCCCTTGGAACTTCCGGGATTCTAACATACCCTAACAGCTTAATTATGTAAAAAAAGCAACTTTATGGACTTTCTTCTACCTAGAAGGCAACAAGTCTACAAAAATATTTATACTTGTAATAATGTGAGAGCATTGTAGTAGTCTAACTACTATGTCTAATTGCAGGAGGCATTCCCTTAAATGTGACAGCCAGTCTGAATCTTTAAATCATTGACAGGATCATCAACTGTTTCCGATTTCAACCTGTCTAGTAGTCAGATGTTAATCATAGGAGAGTCCGTTGAAAGAATTTATCTCTGGGGTCACTCTGCCTCTGCAATTGATGCAATTGAGAAGAGAGTTCTAATTTTTGGTGGGTTTGGAGGTCCAGGCAGACACACCCGTAGAAATGATCTGTTGATTCTTGACCTACAATTTGGTAAATTAGAAATTGTCGACGTTCAGGGAATGCCATCATCACGTGTGGGCCATACATCTTCAATGGTAGAAAAGCATATGTATGTAATTGGTGGAAGAGCTGACCCATTAAATGTTCTGAATGATGTGTGGGCTTTTAGTTTGGTCAAAAAAGAATGGAGGCTCTTGCAATGTTCTGGCTCTTTATTCCCACCAAGGTGATTTAAATCATTTTCAGTAGTGCTTTGCTAAATGGATTGTAGGCCTTCGTTAATTTTAATTTCTGATAATTTTTTTAATTTTCATTTATTATTATTATTTTTACTCCTTTTGTCCCAAATTAAGTTGCATGTTTACTATATTCACAGCCTCGCACGGTCAAACTTCTTTCACTTTCTTTCGCTATTTTTGTTACTCATTGGATAAAATAATGTAGTCTTGTCATCTCTTGTTTCTTAGAACTTTTGACGTAGTTTTTAAATTTGTAAATTTTATTTTTTTAATTCTACCCCAATCTCAAATAAGTTGTATTTAAAAAAACTCCAGTCAAACACCGTAAACCGAAACAGGCGATTTAAATTGGGACGGATGAAGTATTATTTGTTATTATTATGATGGTGGTTATTATTATTATTATTATTATTATCATTATTATTATTATTATTGGATCCTATCTGTCCAATAAGAAAGTTTTACAGAAAATGTTTACTAATTTGTATGTGTTTGCACATGGAAACATATTCTTAAAACTAATTTATTGTGTTTGGCACCACAAGGAAAATATTCTTTTTTAAATTTTTAGTGTTCAAACTTTTATGGAAAAGAACTTTCTGTTTTGAAGGCAAGACTGGGTATGAAGAAGATGATGGTGAATGTTGGCATGTTATGAACTCATTAGGAAGAGATTCAAATTGTATACGGAAATTATATATGATTTCAGACAAAAACTATTTTCTCCGTCTGTTGTTTTTAAACTTCTAAAGTTTATTAATATTTTCTAAAATTTAAATGCATCATCATTCAGGCATCGGCATGCAGCAGCAGCAGTAGGCTCAAAAATTTATATATTCGGGGGAATCCACAATGATGCTGTAATATTGTCATCAATGCATGTTCTTGACACGGAAGCATTGACATGGAATGAACTACAAGCCAGAGGAGAAATGCCATGTCCATGTCACTCCCATTCTATGGTAGCACACGGGACCCTATTATATACTTTCGGGGGATATGATGGGGAGAGACCTCTAGGAGACCTTTTTAGTTTTGATACAAAAACACTTATCTGGAAAAAGGAAACTATCCCGGGGAAACCTCCAAGTCCTAGGTTTTCCCACTCTATGTTTGTTTATAAGGATTTTCTAGGTATTATCGGAGGATGTCCCGTTAGTCAAAGTCAGCACAAGCTGTCGTTGCTTGATATGCGCTCCCACCAGTGGAAACATATTGTTGTCAATTCCTTGGGTAAGGATCTCTTGGTTCGAAGCACTGCCAATGTTGTAGGTGATGATCTAGTTATGATTGGTGGTGGGGCCGCGTGTTACGCATTTGGGACTAAGTTCAG